ATTTAGGGACAACTGATTCCTCAACAATGCTAAGTCTTCTGATTCCTGAAAATAGTACACTCTTCCATTTATTTAAATTTTCTTATATTTCTCTCACCAATTTTCTGGTTTTTTTCAGTGTACAAGTTTTGTACTTCATCAAGTTTCTTAGTAAGTATTTCATAAAATCGTAATACTATTATAAATGGCTTGGGTTTTTTCAAGTTCAGTTTCTGAGTAGTATTGAAAAACATAATTGATCAAATAGCTAAGCTATGTTATGGAACCAGTCTAGGTGCCCTTCAACAGATGAATAAAAATATGGTATATATACACAATGGGAAATTACTTAGCCATCAAGAAGGAAGCTGGGCATGGTGGCACACACCTATAATCCTAGCAGCTTGGGAGGCTGAAGCAAGAGGATCCTGAATTCAAAGACAGACTCAGCAACTTAGCAAGGCCCTAAGCAATCTAGTGAGATCTTGTCTCTAAAGAAAATATTTTAAAAAGGCTGGGAATGTGGCTCAGTGGTTAAGCACCCCTGGGTTTAATTCCTGGTACCAAAAGAAGAAGAAGAAGAATGAAATTATGGAATTTGCCAGTAAATGAATAGAATTGAAGATTATCATGCTAAGTGAAATAAGCCAATCCCAAAAACCTAAAGGCAGAATATTCTCTGATATGTCGATGCTAACACACAATAAGGGGTTGAGGGGAAGAACAGAAGTTCAATGAATTAGACAAAGCGGAATAAAGGGTAAGGAGGGAGATGGGAATAGGAAAGACAGTAGAATGAATAAGACATAACTTTCCTATGTTCATACATGAATACATGACCAGTGTAATTCCACATCTTGTTCAACCACAAGAATAGGATCCTAATTAGAATAAATTATATTTCAGGCATGGATAATATGTTAAAATACATACTACTGTCATGTATATATAAAAAGAACTAAAAATATACATATAATTGATCTTTTTACACTGAACACTAGTTCACTATTAATATGGATGATCATAACAATCTGTGAGTAAAGACAGTTTTACTTTTTCAATGACTTTAGTCATTTTTCTTTATTACATTTGCTAGGACTTCCAGTGTGAGAATATGAATAATAGGAATAGAGGAGAGGAATTAACTCCATTATGGCCAAAAGTAGAGCCTCTCAATGTTTAAAGATTGTAATGTATATTGTATCTTTAAAGTACATGGAGTTTAATAATCAGTATGAAAAATAGACACGTAAAATCACCTCTTTCTCATGGCTGGCCTATGGTCTTAGCATTCTTTAACCACTCAAAAAAATGCGCCTCTGTCATCTGTCAAGCTCCCATATGTGCATGCTTTCATTTTTAAACTACGTGGTCTGCTCCTCTACCCTGAGTCAATACCCAAACCAATATCTTGCTGAGAGATCTTATTCATCTCATGATTTTAATTAACTCTTTGTGCTAATAATTCCCAAGTATCTTTCTTCCCCAGATTTTTCCATTAACCTCAAATTTCTATTTTCAAATGTCTCACTTGATTTATATAATAGATATTTCAAAATTTAAATATCTTTAAAAGCCAAACTCCCTTTGGATCAGCTGCTAACTTGCTACCTTCCCTTCCTCAATAACTAAAGGCATTTACCAAACACTCAAGTCAAACTCTGTCATCCTTGACCACTTCACATCCAAACCATGATGAAACCCTGGCCACTCTACCTTAAAAATGTATTAAAAACCTAACCACCTGTGTTGCCACAATCCTACTGAAGTCGACACCATCTCTCACCCAGATTATTCCAACAGCCTCTTCCTTGCTATTCTTCTCTGTCCCTGCCCTCCTGCAGTCTATTCTACTTACAGCTAGCAAGATGATATTATGTAACTTAAGTCAAATTGTATCACTGCTGCACTCTAAATCCCCCATCTTCCCATCTCACATAGATACAAAACTCCCTGAAAACAGTGGCTTGCCTGCTTTGCTTTCTTCACTGCTCCAGATCCCGAGTATCTGGTATTACCCAGCACACAAACACTCAAGTATTTGTTGAATAAATGAGTCTTAATTACCATAGGGTCATTAGTCCTTTTATCCAGCAGAATACCCCAGGTTATCTTCCCTTTTTACATTTTGAACCTTTGACTTTCTTAGAATTGCTTTGAGTTCATAAATTAATTTTGGGAGAACCCCTAGCTTTTAAATGTTGAGTTCTTCTCCACCCAAAACATGGTAGGTCTATTTTTTTAGATGTTCTTTTATTTTGTGTTCATAATTTCCTCCATAAAAAACTAAGCATTTTTATCAAATATATACCCACTTTTTTTTGCTATTACCATAAATGTTATCTTTTAAAAATTACATTTTCTGCCACAATTAAATCTTCAAGTTCTTTTTCTACCACATATTCTTCCTTAAATTTAAATGCTTAAATTTCCCTTTGCCTTAAAAAACCTCCATTTGAGGCTGGGGATGTAGCTTACAGATAGCACACTTGCCTGGTATGTGTGAAGCCCCTGAGTTCCATCCCCAATGCCACACAAAACAAAAAAAAATAAATAAAATTTTAAAACTCCACTTGGCTATGAAGCCATCTGTTCTTAAATGGAAGTAGTTAAGTAGTGCTAACTCAGCTTCTTCACTTCCTACTCAATCCTTAAGCCCTAACCTAGCCTTTGTTCAACAATGGTCCAGTGAAAACTGCTCTTTCAGAAATGACCACCACACATTGAGTCAATGAATTCCACAGCTCTTCCTCAATGTTTATCTTCTTCAGTCTAAGTTGAACATGATACTAATAACATCCTACCCCTTTGCTCTGAATTTTTTCTCTTCTTTTGGCTTCCATTAAACTGATTTTCTTTCCCTTCTCATGGGTATGTCCCCTTCTCCATCCTCCAATTTCTCTCTTACCTTTATTCCAGGAAGAACTTGTATTCTATTTTAGGGATATAGGGAGAGCCTCTTGAGGGAAGCAGAGTTTAAGCCAGCTCTTGAAGTGAGCATAGGGTTTACCATATGGATAAGTAGAAAAAAGGAATTTCTGGCAGAAAGAATAGCATATGCAAGCTGGGTTTAGTGGTGGACACCTGTAATTCTAGCAACTTGGGAGGCTGAGGCTGGAGGACCACAAGTTTAAGACCAGCCTGAGCAACTTAGCAAAACCCTGCTTCAAAAAGGAAAAGGGGTTGGGGATGTAGCTCATTGTCCGAGAATACCTAGGTTCAATCCCCAGTATAAAGAAAAAAAAAAGCCAAGTAAGGAAAGCATAGTTAACCACAGAGCCTTGAATAGTTTGGTGCATTCAGAGCTGTACTGTCCAATATGGTAGATGCAAATCATATGCAGTAATAGGTACCTGAAACGTGGCTATTCCAAATTGAGGTGTGCTGCAAGTGACCTTCCAAATTAAGGGGTAAGATGGCCTGCCATTCCAAGGCTTTCTACTATATAAGTCTAACCTGTATGCAGTAGTACCTAATACTGCTCCTCTTATGTTCTCTTGGATGTGACAACCTGGAGATATCTCCTAAACTTATGTTTTCATCTTCATGTTTTTTTCATAATCTTTTCTCTGCCAAGAATACCCTTTCCCAAATTTCGTATCATAAGGAATCAAAATCTTAATAAAAGTATTATGTTTATAGAATTAGATAAAAACCTAAGGATACGGCCTTTTGTTAGAGATACAAATTGAAGCATTTAGACATGATTTTTTTAAACAAATCCTACTAGGATTTCAGAGTCTATATCAAATACCTACTCCTTCATGTGAAATAATTTTTATTTAACCCAAACCTTCAACAAACACACATATTAGAACATATTATGTGCTATATGTTGCTCTAGGTGCTAGTTAAACCTGTTAATAAAATGTTATCCCTGGCCAAATGAGGTTAGTCTTAAGGCAGACAGTTCCATAAGATAACTATTACAATGAAACATAATTTAGGCTCTGATGGAGCTGGATACAAAGTCCTTCCTACAGGAGCACTGACAAGTCCTAATACAGGCTGGTGTCAGGCAGAGGGAAGCATCCTAAAGTGACATAAAAGGCCCTCTTGGGATATTCCCCCTTTAATTACCCAAGACATTTCTGGTAGCTTCTTTTCTGTTTATCCAATTCTGTCTTGGATACAGTCAAGCATGTACCCTAGACTCCCAACATCTGTAGATTCCATATTTGCCAACTTGCCCATTGCTAAATTTATTTAACACCAAAATTAATACCTATGGTGATTTCTTGGTTATTCATGCACATTCTCAGAGTGGGGAAACGTTTTGAGTTGCCCAAGACTCATTTTCCCAGCTTGTTCTACAAGTTGAGCTAGAACAAGGTGATACTTGGTTCAGCTCTCATAAGGAACAAGTGTCCCTGCTGTGGTTTATATTTAGAGTCACATTTTTGTGTTTTTGTTGGCAACTTTGATGTTTTAAATGGCCCTAAAGCACGGTGTTGAAGTACTGCCTAGTGTTCCTAGCTACAAGATAGTGATGTGCCTTCACAGAAAACACAACTTATCCAAGCTTCATTCAGGCATAATTATGATTTCGTTACTCATGATCTGAGTATTAATGAATCAACTATATTAAATAAGGTGTTTTTAAACAGACCCACAAATGTTACAGATCAGTGGGTGAAAATGTGACGAGAGGCCCCCAGGAACCTCCTGAGCTTCTAGGAACAATGGTTCAGAATTCATTAATTCAGTATTGGTGGCAATGTTCCAGGACATAACTACTACAAACAATTGGAATCAACAGTACTTATCTTTCCCTCAAGGGTCAGATCTATCTTAGTCATCACTGGTGCTTCCTTTGGCATAGGTAAGCAATACCAAAGAGTTTAAATCTTAACTGAAAAGAAAACTAATGTTTATTATTTCTTTAGTGAATGCCTTGACTTCAAAAGTAGAGATCATACAGTTTAACAAAGGCTGACTACTAAAACAAAATAATCTTATATAATATTGACGCATTTTATGGCTTCAGAATGACCAGCAAAGGCTTTCGTCAATATGCTTACCATTTTTGTTCTTCAGATTAGGATCTGCTCCACTTTTTAGAAGTTTTAAGGCACACTGCTTGTGGGCCCGGTAGGCTGCACAATGCAACGGTGTATTTCCTAACTGATCCGAACAATTAACATCAGGAGGATTAGGCCTGTTGAGCTACCAATGAGAGAAATGCAATGCAGAATTATACATCAAAAGCAGACTTTCTCCCAGAAGGTGTTCAAGCAGAGCCTGGAGAACAGCAGGACTGGTTTGGCATTTAGACTATACATGACTTCTGGCTCACTAAACCAGCCAACCCTACCACTCCTGTGCTTGTCCCACAAATGCCACTAGATCGCAGGCCTATGTCCAGTTTCCACAGCCCTTGATGACAAGACACTACACGCTATGCCAGTGACACCCTATCCACCCCTGGCATTAAAATTTCACCAAGTGTGCTTGCTCCTACCAGTTCTGCATTTATTTCACACTCGTGACAGCAAAGCTACGAATCAGGCTACCATGAACAGTCCCTGAGGAAAGTTAAAACCATAGATGTTAAATGTGTAAATGTCAAAGTTCTATTGAATTTGTTGTTCCCACCTTACTGTTTTAGGAACTTCTTTATATAGTCTCCATTTCACAAAATTTTAAAAAATGTTTCAGGCACTAAACTTAGAAACTAAAGGAGCTGTTTCAAATAAAGCTGAAATAACTTTAAAGCAAATGGCAATACTTCAGTCTTGAATTCAGAACAAATTTAGAGTTTCATGTTTAATGAGACTATGCAGGAAATGGAAACTGGAAAGTAGGTCTCCTAGGAGGAAAAAGAAAGTATGCAAAGCTTTTAATCTGCACTAACATGATATAATATTCTGAAATACATCCCTTTTTTCTATTTTCTAGAAGGACAGCATTCCTTTCAGAAATTACTGCTCATCAAAATTAGGGAGAAAACCTTACCACTTTAGAGAGTCCTACATATTGTGTTTAAATTTTAAATTGGTTTAATCCAAAAAAATAATTTAAGTTGTCCTTACATTAACTATTTTCTATTAAAAATTAGATTTTTATCCATCAGGTTTTCAGCAGGGGGTGGAAATGTAAATCAGAAATTTAGAAAAACAAATCACCATTTAAAATGTGTCCTGTTTAAACTTTACCATGTTGTTAGACATTTAAGGACTTTTGTCCTATTATTATAATCTCTGACACTTTCAGTCCTCTGTTCATGAAATTATAAACTTTACATTAAGTATAAAATTTCTTGAAGAACTGCCTTTTGCTTATTGTTGTATTACCAGAGCTGTGAGTTCTGCTGTTTTGCCTTCTCTTGCTGCTGCTAAAAGCAATTCTTCAAGCTTTCTTTGTTGTGTCCTTTCTACAGCTGCAAAAAGAAAACAAGTATGATTCTGCTACCAGTCAGTATCCTATTAGCACCTTAATTACAAAGACATATAAAGAAAAATGTGGTCATAGTGAAAAATGTTTTGAACTGTAATTCAAATGCAGAATATAGACTCTCATCCTTTCAGATGAGTTCAATTTCCTTCAAGTTTGATGGAATTTGTTTTAAATTCAGTGGATTTTGTTTTATTCACCATAATACTCAACAAAATTATGAATTACTTTTGTATAGTGAAATACTATTATGTATCTATCTGCTTGGAAAGGTAGATAAACTGTGTTCAGACCTTCCAGAACCTTTTAAAGGGAAGAGAAAAATAAGAAATAGCATTGGTAGAAAGATGAACAAATCACATAAACATATGCAGATAGGTTTTAATCTACTTACATACTTCCACATATTATAAAATTTATTCTATTTAATAAATATCATAACACTACTACCAAGTGCTATTCAATACACTTAAAAAATATTAACTCATTACATCATCCTACCCACCCTGAAGTAGTTGTTACTATGCTAATTCTATGGACAAAGAAATGGAGGCATCAGGAGGTCAGGGAACTTGGCCAAGGTCGTGAGGTGGAGGAGCTAGGCTGTGAATTTAGGCAAGCTGGTGCCAAAGCCCATGCTACTTTCAAATCATGTTTGCATGAAAAGAGCAACTGGCAATCTAATCTAAGAGTAGAATAATTTCTCATTTCTGCTAGATTTGAATTCTGTTTTGACTTACAGAAAAGAAACAATTTCATACAAAGTTTAGTAATCCCATTTAACACACATATACAATATCCTATGCAAAGGCTCAAGAGAGGATTATTCTCCTGGCAGTTTTCCTGGCTAAGACGAGTCATGGGCAGAGAAACAGGCTGGGGAACCAGAATCCTGGGGAAACAGATGAACATTTTTTAACAGTAATTACTACATGCTAATCCTTGATCCAGATACTATGTAAACCACTGCATTTCAACTACAGAGAACACAAACTTTGAATACAGGAAAAGTAAAAACCAGTTTAGCTTTGTCTTAAGAAATGATGAAGTAACTCAGAATCATCATCATCTATTCTCACATTTTTGCTTCCATACTTGGACTCTGTCTATGTAGGCGCTCGGAGGTTTTAATAGGAACTACTATCTTCCATCTTTCCTTTCACTATGAACTCTTCAAGAGCAGTAATCCCCTGGTACCTGCCTCCACTACTGCATTATCCTGACCTATAACTTATTCCTTTAGTGTCTGGATGGATCCCAGAGCCTCATGCATGCTAGGCAAGCTTTCTATCTTGAGCTATATCCCCAGTCCTCTCTCAGAGGTCCTTTAAGTCTAGCACCTGTTCTTAATTCTTATGTATCCAGGCATTTATAAGGTACTCAGCACAATACATATCAGTTGTTAAATAATGCTTAATAATTTCTGTTTCACACTTCAGGGAAAGGATATAAAGAATACCCTAATATTTTTTTTCTAGATTTTCTAGGCTCACAAATGAGAACAAATAGGAATTTAGAGTTGAAAACCCTGCATATGTTCCTGTAAACTTCCTGTCCTATGTTTATTCAGAGCAAAGACTGCTGATCCAGTAAATGAAAAGCAAATACTCCAACTTCAGGTGATGGGGCTCCTAGAGTGCTGATAACATTCTCTTTCTTGCTGTGGATGCTGTTCATAAGGACACTGTACTTTTGTGAAAATAGTGGGCTGCATATTAATGATATATATTTTTATCTCCATGAATACATCTTAAGGAAATACTCTAAATCCAAAAAAATATTAAAATTTAAATTTAATAAGATACCAAACTCTTTCATTTCAATCAGAATCCAGAGTTAGTTGGGATTTCAGAGGTCATGAAATCTACCTTCACCTTAATAGACAATTATAAACTTTCACAGGTTTGTAGTAGTACACATTGAAATGCAGAATACCTGGTAAATTTTGATGCTGATAGAAAATCACAACTTCACAATCACCACAGAAATAGATAATTTGGACAAATATTATCAATGAATGTTAAAACCACTGACTGAAAATTTATTGGTAAACAAAATACATTATGTGGTCTTAAGTTTCTCCCTCAGTTTATTAGTTATAAAGGGAAAAACATAGAATTCCAGTGGACCACCCAGTGATCAGAGTTAACATCACCAATAATGGAACAAAGTGACATTCTGTGTCTCCTATGAGGGCACAACCTCACCTATACAATATTCCTGCCAAAAAAAAAAAAAAAAATGCATACCCTGAATCTGATCATATGAAACAGAAAAACCCAAATTGAAGGACATTCTATAAATAATTCCACAATTGCCTTCCTCTTCTAAAAGGCAAACATCAAGAAAGGGGCGGGGGGAAAGCCTGCAGAACTGTTTCAGATACAAGATGACTAGAAAGATGTGAAAATTAAATACAACATGGGACTTCTGATTAGATCCTGGATTGGGTGGAAAATGCTACAAGAAGTTTTTTTACACAACAGGCAAAATTTATATATAAAAAAAACATATATAATATTGTTGAGTACCCCTTATTCAAAATGTTTGGGATCACTTGTCAACACTAATTCAAAAATCCAAAATGGAAAATACTCAAGGATCCAAAAACTTTTTGAGCATCATGGTACTCAAAAATTTTTGCATTTTCAAGCAATTCCAATTGCAGATTAGGGATGCTCAACCTGTATATTAATGTAAAGTTCCCTGAGAGTGATCACTATGAAATCAGCCCTCCATATTCATGGGTTTCATATCTGTGGATTTAACCAACCAGATTGAAAATAATAAAACATTTTGTATCTGTATTGAACATGTTCAAATTTTTCTTATTATTATTCCCTAAATAATACAGTAAAACTGCTATTTACATAGTATTTACACTGTATTAGGGATCATAAGTAAACTTGGGAGGACATGCGTAGATTATAAACAAATACATTTTATGTAAGGGATATGAGCACTTGCAGATTTTGGTATCCAGGGATACCCTACACCAATCCCTATAGAACTGAGGAAAGACTAAAATTATGTGATATGTAAGAAAATATGCTTGTTCTTAAGAGATATATGCTGAAGTATCAGTATTTCTGCAAATTATTCTCAAATTGTTTAACAAAAATGTAAATAACATCCAATATGTACGATAACTCAGGTATGGCAAAATATCTACCAATTGATGAATCTAAATAAAGGACATACAAAGGAAGTACAACTGTTCATTGTATTAATCTTGAAATATTCCAATAGGTTGGAGACTTTTTCAAAATAAAAAGACAAATGAGAAACATAAAAAAGTTTGGGTTTTTTAGTTTTTTCGTTTTTGCCTGACTAGTAGTAGTCTACTGTTTCCCCAAATACTAAAATCATAGGAAACGCACTGCACTTTCCAAGGCAACTCACACCATTGTGACAATACACTGGCCCCAAATATCAACTCCCTGGTACCATATCAAGTGGGCCATCAACTGGCCATGGTTCTGCCACAAATAACATCATCCTTTCCTAAATAACTGCTCTTCAGATATTTAAGTATGCTGTCACTGTGCTTAACTATGTCTATCTCTCTGGAATAAAAAATTTCCGGTCTCTTTGTGCATTATCCCCTGATCTGGTTTCTGGTCTATGTACGGTCTTCCTAGGTTGCTCAAAGCACCTCTTGTAGTTTGCCAATGACTGTTTAGTGATCTACCCACAAATGGTATTATATTGGCTAAGGGGAGCTCATTAGAACAGAATCACTCAATTGGGTCTCTACTTCTGTTTCCCAGGATATGACCACATGAGCTGACAAATCATATTACCCGTGAAGTCAAATAAGCCCTTGTCCTTGCACAATTTAGGTTTTGGAAGAGCCTTAAAGCATGTCTTTACAATTTCTCTTATTAAATGTCAACTTGTCAGGCTAACCTAACATTCCAGTCTGTCAGGAAAACCTCAGTTTTGGGTTCTCATCTTGATACATTAAAACAACAGGACAGGAACAAAGACAGTTACCTTATCCTCTCAATTAGTCTATAATGTATTAAAGGGCAGAGACTACAACCAATACATTTTGCATGTCCCCAAATCACATGATATACTGCCTGACAGAGATAGTATATGTGACTTCTATTCATTGACAATGAAAGAATTTGTTTTAATGCAGGAGTATGTTAAGACACTGATCTAAAGATATCTGACGAGCAAAGCTGACCCGAAAGGAGAATAGTGAATATTTGAGACTGGGAAGTGGGAGAAAAAAAAGAATTGGATTTGATCAGTGTATGTTGTATGCATGTAAGAAAATATTGCACAAACCTATTAATACATATAAAGATATACGTTAATAAAAAAATTTTTAAATAAAGATGTCTGAACACAGACATTTTCTAACTGCAGAACAAGAAAGAAGAGTTCAGTTCTGAAAGTCAATGGAAAAATAGTAAAAAGTAGGATGCAGGATATTACACAGATAAAAACACTAATAACTGTTATACATCAATGAGGTCCTCAAGAAAATGGAGCCAGTTGTCTTCCCCAATATCAAAACACTCCCAGGAGCCACACTACTTGGTTTCTCTGTCTGGCACAGCACCTCTGTCTGTATTCCTTCACAATCATATTTCACCAGCTTATCCACTACATTCCCTCATTTCTCTTTTTCTACTTTTATTTTGCTGGATATTGGAAAAATAGATTTCTAAAACATGCATAATTTTGTATAAGCTAAGAATTTAAATGCCATGAGGGAATTCTCATATAGATAATTTTGTGTACAAATAATTACTCCCCAAATGACATTATCAATAGAGTACAAGAGAGTATAGGCTTCTTGTCATCTACATGGATATTTTAGAAGCTATTTTACCCATACTGTCGATCTTGGCTATAATTAAACTAAATTATGCTTATGTTAAGATCCATGATATTTACCTTCAAGCATGCTTCTGATTTCTTTGTCATGTGTAGCTTCTTTTGCTGTCTGTCCACTTCCATTTACCACTGTAGTATCAGCGTCGTATTCTAAGAGAAGCATTACCAATTCCTAAATAGACAAATTATTTTGGGCCATATTAAGCTAAGATTTTATTATATGCCTTTTCCAAATTATCAATCATTACAGAGTTTTTACAAAAAAAGTCCTATATAAGGATCTTTATGTGACATCAATTATGACAATAAGTGGTTCAAATAATTGTAATAATAACTGATGATTGCCTAGAAAACTGCCAATCCACAATACACAGCCAACATCTATAAATAAGTTTTAAAATAAATTATGTGGCATGTACCAAAATTATTCTTGTGATAAAACTAAATTTGTAAGTTTAAAAAGCCATTATTCAAATTAGAGCATATAGTATATTCATTTATCATTCCTCTAAGGCCTGATGAGAAACAATAATTCCCCAACAGACCTACATTTCTTAAAGTTAATTTTGATTCATTCAGAAAATAGAATAATATTCTCTGAAGTGATATAAACTAATGAGATGTACTATACTACTGAGGAATTGCTTATCATGAAGCAAACAACAAATGACAGTTTCATTCATGTATAAGTGGCTAATTGCTATTTTAGGAATTTCAAATTAATTGTTAATATATGTTAAGTCCAGGTATCACTGGTCAGTTATATAACTTAAAACAAATGGAGGAGAAAAATGCAGACAATAATAGAAATTTGATATCTGCTTTCCCTGAGATATATAGTGCCCAAGGAGAGAATAATGACAGTGCTTGCTTTCAAGCTCCACACTAAGTGCTGTTCTAACTCCTGGAATGACAGTGGCTATAACCTAGGAAGTGATATCTCATGTTGTCATAGGAAATTTTATGGCCCAGAGGAAAGATAAAACCTCTATGTTAGTTAAAAATATATTTTTATAGTTAAGTACTTAAATAACATTAAAAAAAACACAAACAAAAAAAGAAAATAATATACTCATTTTCCTAATCACTAAATGACCACTATAAACATTTTGCTCTTTCTTTCTAATCATTTTCCATTGCAGAAGTTTGAGTTTTTATGTTGTTTTGTTTTTAAGAGACAGGGTCTCACTAATGTTGCCCTTGTCAGCCCTGAACTCCTGGGCTTGAAATCTTCTTGTTCAGTCTTCCAAGTCTCTGGGACTATAGGAATGCACCACTGTACCACCCCAAACTTGAGATGTTTTAAACATAATTTCATCCATATGAAATAGTTGTTTTATGTTATACACCTATTTTCTAATATATATGTCTAGTATACGACATATATTTTCATGGCTCAATATTATTCTGTTAATATATATATTGTATATATTATTCTATGTTATATAGAATTATATATCTGTATCTGGGATTTTTCTGGGTTTTTTTGTTGTTGCTCTTGTTTATTCTTTTGTTTTGTTTTGCAGTGCTGGAAATTAAACCCAGGGCCTGTACATATTAAGTAAGAACTCTAACACTTAGCTACACCCCCAGACCTTTCCCGCCTATTTTTAAATGCAGTACATAGGGGCTAGAGCTGTAACTCGGTGGTGGAGCTCTTGCCTAGCATATGTGAGGCCTATTTTTAATTGTTCAGTGGACGTTTTGCTGCATAACTACTCTTAAATTTTAAAAAAGTTAAAGTCCAGCTGTGGTTTTCTATGCTCAAAGATCATCCTGCCTTTTAACACTTGTATAGATACAAAACAATTAGCTGTCATCTTTTTCTTCGTCATCCCCCAAGATCTGGAATTCTTCACCTAGTACTTAAGAGTCCCTGGTACTTTTAATTTCCACTCCGCCCTCACAGGTATCCCTTTCATCCACTGAGAAAACTGTTCTTTTCTGAACCATTCAACAATTGCCCACATATTTAATTAATTATTTCACTTAACATACTTATATACTTAACATTGTACAAGGCTTCACAGAGAACATTCCTGGATATCAACTACTGAAGGGAGACTGTGTGTGGCTCAGTAGTAGAGCACTTTCCTAGCATGTGCAAAGTGCTAAGCTCAATTTCCAGCACTGTGAGAAAAAAAAAAATGAAGTGACTTTAGAAAACTCTGACAAACTTGGCACACCTGTTTAGGATGAAATCAAGAAAAAAATCAATAAAATAACAGAGATAAAGCAATCTATGTGGTGGGGGGAGTATATTTCCAAGTGCCAACAATAGAAAGAAGAATTAAGAGTGAAAACTATTTCAAAGACCAATAGAAATATTACACAGGGAGCCCATGTGGAGGAAGATAAGCCCCATTTTAGATACATGAAATTTCAGCTCCCTGAGGGGTAGCTAAGGCCACCAACATGCAGCTGAACAGAGGCCCTGGATGCCTGCAGAGTAGAATGAGGTAAAATTACAGATTTCCAAATAACCCCCTAGGAACTAAAAAAATGAAGCCATAAGAGTAGATTGGTTTGTTGAGCAAAGTTTCCAGAGAAAAGAAAAGGGTGTTAAAAAAATGAAGCCTTAAGGGAAAAAACAAAAAAGAATCATGAAGGCATCCAGAGAAACTTCAGAGCCTCCTTCCAAAGAAATAATCAGAATGTCAGGTTGCAGCTGAAGAAAACAGAAGCCCTTAAAGTTAGTGAACCACTGATGACCTTTCCCCCAAACTCCAATTCCTAGAGGAGCCAAGAACTAGACTATAAAAGGAGCTAAGGAAGGTGAAAAAGGGAGTGTAGACACATTTTAATAATTTTTTCAACAAATCAGATATATATATCTCCTATTGTCATGTGTAAGTAAAAAGAACAACAATAAGAACAAAAAAACAGAGCTAAAAAAAAGCTCCTGCTCAGAGAAGACATCCTTGCCCACTCTAGGTAGAGTAGCATTAGCCATCCACTAACTCTCCTTCTTCTGCTTGATTCATTTTCCTAGTATTTCCAGTGTCCTGGATTTTTAAGAAGGAAGGGTTTAGAAAAATTGTGCTGTATATGTGTAATAAGAATTGTAATGCATTCCGTTGTCAGGAAAAAAAAAAAAAAAAGAAGGAAGGGTTTAGTCTGTTCTATTCACTGTTGTAGTCCTGCACCTGGAACACCAGCTATTTATTTTTGAATATTTATGTCCAAATAAAGATGTTCTGCTTAAAATATTCCTGGCCATGACAGCATTTTGACCAACTTGTCAAAGAAGTAATTGGAGGAGCAAAGTTTTGGCTTTGAGCAAGATACTATTTTTCCTTTTTTTCCCCTAGTGGTTAGGATTGATACTCAAAAGAGCTTAAAGAAAATTTAACATGACCATGAATCATACCCTCAAATTGCCCTAACCCCATTCTGCTTAGCAAACTGTCAGTCATTCCTTTATTGCACAATTCTATTCTTGTTATCAACACACAATTCATATCACGTGAAAGAGCAAAATCCCATACCCATATGGCTTTTAACTAACTGTATTAAGATACAATTTACAGGCTGGGGTTGTGGTTCAGTGGTAGAATGCTTGCCTAGCACGTGGGGGGCCCTGGGTTTGATCCTCAGCACCACATAAAAATAAACAAATAAAATAAAGGTATTGTGTCCAAGTACAACTAAAAATTAAATATTTTAAAATTTTTTAAAAAAGATATAATTCACATAAATTTCACCCTGTTAAAGTGTAAAATTCTATGGATTTTTGTATATTTGGAGTTGTGTGCAATAATCATCACTATATAATTTTAGAATATTTTTATCACCCTGAAAAGAAACCCCATATTCATTAACACTCAAACCTTATTTCCCCTTTCCCTTGACAACACACTCATGGAATTTCAGTCTCTATGGATTTGTCTGTTATGGACATTTTGATGAAGGAAGGTCCTACCCAGCACAGTGTTAAGGTTCATCTATGTCTTGGCACATACCAGTACTTCATTCTTTTGTATTGCTGAACAACACTCATAGCATGAGTATAGCAAATCTTGTTTGATCATTCATTAATTAACATTTGGGTTTATTTTTTGGTTATTATGAATATTCCCATGTTGATTTTTTAAAAAATCTTTTCCCTATAAAGTTATTTTTAAGAGAAATTCAACATGAAAAATTTCATTTATAAAATAATTTCTTTATATAGGCTTCAGGTTTCAAAGTTAGAAGAAATAATTTATACAAATTTAGCTTAATGAACTTTTGAGATTGTAAGGAGAGACTCAAGAAAATTAGATTAGTTTTACCTTTAACAATTCTAATAAAAATATCAGAAAATCTTCTTGGGGTTTATGTTAATATACTATAATAGACAGGGCAGGAAAATGTTAATTTTTTAAAAACATTTAAAAATACAGCTACCAAAATGGTTACTTTAAGGAAAAAAACTGATTATTTAAAAGGGGTAACCTTTAATTATCCAATATCCATATGTGCGGAAATACAATTCTCAAACTCTGGCAAATAAAATATTCCTTGAAATACAAATTACTAATGAAAAAAGTATCTACAGAAATACATCTGCTTGGAAAATTATGACTTATTTCCTGAGAAAAATCAAAGTTATGATGAAACTTAAGAACAGACTCAAAACTTAAAAACAATTATTTGTAAGCAAGTGAAATACATAATATCTAATATTTAGCTAACATTTTCAATGTAATAGACACTGTAGGCTGAGGCAGGAGGATTGTTAGTTCAAGGCTCTAATCAACTCGGCAAGATCCTGTCTCTAATAAAATACAAAAAACTTTTACTAACTTAAATCTTCACCAAAATATACCAAGGATACTTACTATTATTACACCTCTCTTTAAAGGTACAGAACCTGAGGCACAAAAGTAAATGTGTCACATATACTAATATATATCAAAATACAGCAAGTACAAAAGTACACCACAATCTACTACACAGATTCAAAGTTCACCCTGCAATGAATCCCAACAGTCAACAAGTCCTATTCAAGACCACAGGACTTCTATGAGCTTCATGGCTAAGAGTGGAAATGTGTGATACCCCATGCAGCAAAGACCTGAGGGGGGCCTGCAGGGGTTGATACCAATTCCCAGGCAACAGGGACCTCAGTCCTGCAACAACTAAATGTGCTTGCAAGTGGCTCCCAAGTCCCAGAAGGAAACACAGTCC